ATGGTCACATTCGGATTGAACTTTGAAAAAGAAGTTATTTATCTTAATGTCTTCTGCCTCCTCTCTGTATCTATTTTGTACCTCCTTCACTTTGTACATCTATTGTTTCGCCTTCCCCTCTCTCGGTACCACAATCTACCTCGAGGTAACTTGTGCCACTACTCTCTCTCTCTCTTTGTATCCTGTGCCAACGCTCTCTCTCTCTCTCTCTCTCTTTGTATCCTGTGCCAACGCTCTCTCTCTCCATCTCTGTATCCTGTGCCAACGCTCTCTCTCTCCATCTCTGTATCCTGTGCCAACGCTCTCTCTCTCCATCTCTGTATCCTGTGCCAACGCTCTCTCTCTCCATCTCTGTATCCTGTGCCAACGCTCTCTCTCTCCATCTCTGTATCCTGTGCCAACGCTCTCTCTCTCCATCTCTGTATCCTGTGCCAACGCTCTCTCTCTCCATCTCTGTATCCTGTGCCAACGCTCTCTCTCTCCATCTCTGTATCCTGTGCCAACGCTCTCTCTCTCCATCTCTGTATCCTGTGCCAACGCTCTCTCTCTCCATCTCTGTATCCTGTGCCAACGCTCTCTCTCTCCATCTCTGTATCCTGTGCCAACGCTCTCTCTCTCCATCTCTGTATCCTGTGCCAACGCTCTCTCTCTCCATCTCTGTATCCTGTGCCAACGCTCTCTCTCTCCATCTCTGTATCCTGTGCCAACGCTCTCTCTCTCCATCTCTGTATCCTGTGCCAACTCTCTCTCTCCATCTCTGTATCCTGTGCCAACGCTCTCTCTCTCCATCTCTGTATCCTGTGCCAATCCCTCTCTGTATCCCTGTGCCAACGCCCTCTCTGTATCCTGTCCCTCTCTGTATCCTGTGCCAACGCCCTCTCTGTATCCTGTGCCAACGCCCTCTCTGTATCCTGTGCCAACGCTCTCTCTGTATCCTGTGCCAACGCTCTCTCTGTATCCTGTGCCAACGCTCTCTCTGTATCCTGTGCCAACGCTCTCTCTGTATCCTGTGCCAACGCTCTCTCTGTATCCTGTGCCAACGCTCTCTCTCCATCTCTGTATCCTGTGCCAACGCTCTCTCTCTCCATCTCTGTATCCTGTGCCAACGCTCTCTCTCTCCATCTCTGTATCCTGTGCCAACGCCCTCTCTCTGTATCCTGTGCCCAACGCCCCTCTCTGTACGCCCTCTCTGTATCCTGTGCCAACGCCCTCTCTGTATCCTGTGCCAACGCCCTCTCTGTATCCTGTGCCAGCAACTCTCTCTGTATCCTGTGCCAACGCTCTCTCTGTATCCTGTGCCAACGCTCTCTCTGTATCCTGTGCCAACGATCTCTCTCTGCCAAGTCGATCTCTGTATCCTGTGCCAACGCTCTCTCTCTCCGTATCCTGTGCCAACGCTCTCTCTCTCCGTATCCTGCGCCACTATCCCCTCTCTCTCTCTCTCTCTATCCTGCGCCACTATCCCCTCTCTCTCTCTCTCTCTATCCTGCGCCACTATCCCCTCTCTCTCTCTATCCTGCGCCACTATCCCCTCTCTCTCTCCTGCGCCACTATCCCATCCTCTCTCTATCCCATATCCCCTCTCTCTCTCTATCCTGCGCCACTATCCCCCTCTCTCTCTCTATCCTGCCACTATCCCCCCCCTCTCTCTCTCTCCTGCGCCACTATCCCCCCCTCTCTCTCTCTCTCCTGCGCCTATCCCCCTCTCTCTCTCTATACTGCGCCACTATCCCCTCTCTCTCTCTATACTGCGCCACTATCCCTCTCTCTCTCTCTATCCTGCCACTATCCCCCTCTCTCTCTCTCTATATATATATATATATATAAAATATTTATATATATATATATATATATATAAAATATTTATATATATATATATATATATAAAATATTTATATATATATATATATATATAAAATATTTATATATATAATATATATATATATATATATATATATATTAAATATATATATATATATTAAATATATATATATATTAAATATATATATATTAAATATTTATTTATTTATATATATATATTAAATATTTATATATATATATTAAATATTTATTTATTTATATATATATATTAAATATTTATATATATATATATTAAACATTTATATATATATATATATATATATATATATTAAATATTTATATATATATATATATTAAATATTTTATATATATATATATATATATTAAATATATATATATATATCCTGCTTATGTCTCTGTTCTCTTTTGCTCCATTCTCCCTCTCTCCTCTGTTCATTTCCTTATGTCATCAGCTAATGGTGGTCAACAGTACTGTTTTGTGCTACAATATTACCATTCCCCAAATCCTTTTATCCCCACTCCCCAGTGGTGTGCTGAAACATTGTAAAGTGATATAAGAATTTAATGTATTAGTGTGAGTGAATAGAGAAACCGGCACCAATTTGCCGTTTCTCGCTCACCGCCATATCCATCTACAACAGCCTCGCTTGTAACATTTACAACACTCCATTAATATATACTGTTTTACAGTCAGTCGTTAATACAGGTGATTGTTAGATGACTATAGGCTAAAATTAGAAGGCTAGTTTCTTTGTCTCTCTCTCTCTATCTATCTATCTCCCCAGCACCCCACCTTCGCCTTTTATGCTGATTGCTTGAATAGAAGAGAATCATGTGTACATGATGTGTGCTTGTCAGGAACCATTATCTCTTGTAATAGGCATCCAGCGGCTTAGGGATTGAAACAATAAGCCAGGAATTTGTTTTTTTTTTTTGTACTTATTTGTTCGACAGATTCATGTGGGAAAAATAACAAAAGCTTTCTCAGTTTTCTGGCCGATCATCTCTCTTTCATGTGTGTATGTGTCTCATTATGTCTCCATTCTCTCGTTTTTCTTTCCATCTTCTCTCCCTACTGAACTTTGTTGCACACTATCTCTCTCCTCTCTGTGGTCACCTCCATGTAATGGTTAACAAGTTTGCCTTGCTAGATCAGTTCCGGCTGAATAGTGAGTTCGATCCTAACTGGGTGCCCCATAGTTTCGACATTTAAGCTATGCTTAGAAAATCACTCTTTCCGTTCACTTTCTTATCCAATTCTATCACGTTTCTTCTTATCCTCCTTCTGTGTCGATATTTATTTTCTCTCTCTCTCTCTCTCTCTCTCTGCCACTATCTCTTATTTTCTCTCTCTATAACCCTATTTGTCTCTGTCTCTCTCATGTCTCTACCCCTTTCTCTCTCGTTTTCTCTCTCTCTCTCTTGTTTTCTCTCTCTCTCTCTTGTTTTCTCTCTCTCTCTCTTGTTTTCTCTCTCTCTCTCTTGTTTTCTCTCTCTCTCTCTTGTTTTCTCTTCTTTCTGCCACTATCTCTTATTTTCTCTCTCTATAACCCTATTTGTCTCTCTCTCATGTCTCTACCCCTTTCTCTCTCGTTTTCTTTCTCTCTCGTTTTCTTTCTCTCTCGTTTTCTTTCTCTCTCGTTTTCTTTCTCTCTCGTTTTCTTTCTCTCTCGTTTTCTTTCTCTCTCATTTTCTTTCTCTCTCGTTTTTCTTTCTCTCTCTTTTTCTTTCTCTCTCGTTTTCTTTCTCTCTCTTTTTTCTTTCTCTCTCATTTTTTCTTTCTCTCTCGTTTTCTTTCTCTCTCGTTTTCTTTCTCTCTCGTTTTCTTTCTCTCTCGTTTTCTTTCTCTCTCGTTTTCTTTCTCTCTCGTTTTCTTTCTCTCTCGTTTTCTTTCTCTCTCGTTTTCTTTCTCTCTCGTTTTCTCTCTTCCCCCTCCCTCTCTCTCTTTCTCATACTCCCTTTCCACCTCCATATCTACATCCTCTATCTCTTCCCCACTCCATTTTGTCTCTGGATTTCATTATGTGTATATGTCCCCTCTTATCGCTTTTGTTGTTCCTTTAAAAGTTCAATATTTACTTACCGTACATGATATGGATGAGCTCATATAACTTTTTCAACCTAGATTAGATTGGTTGTTTGCCTTTGAAAATGTTTTATGTAATATAGCAGACAATGATTATTTTTGTTGACCTCCTACTCCTAAAATCCAATCTTCCAAAGGTCAGGGTTCAGATGTTTAGCTGTTTCTCAAGAAACTCTCTGCAACCTTCCCATTGTTTTCCTGAAATACTGATTCAAAGTGTTTCATTTGCCCGGGTTATCATGAGTGCGAATTTGCCGCGCATTTGCCAAAATGCATCATGAAGGAGATCGCTTGCATATGCAGCTGGCTTCAAATGTCAAAATACGACAATTCGTTTCTAATGACTCACTGAAGCCTGCAGTAAAATTTAATAAAAAGCAGCACACGAGTTTCCGAAGTGATAATGTAAGATAGGCATGGCGTTTGATAAACGCGGAGAGAAATGTCATCAAATTGATAAAAGTTGGCTTTATCTATCTTGCGTTTTCATGCAATGTTGCGACAATGGAGATGAAAGATAAGGAAAGTCCATTAAATAATGTAGTCAGTGGAGGTTGTTATCTTGACGAGATAAGTGCAAAAAATGGGGGCTCCTATTTCTCGTGTTTGACTGTCTCCTCACTACTCTCCCAGTTTCTTCTCCACCACCTCCACACCGCACACCCACACGCATGGCGTTGTTCCTTCTCCACGGAGCCACCACCACCCTTGGTTTCTGCACGTGAAGGTTCCTAAACTCTAATGGGTGTATTTTCCTTCCTCTTCCACTACCTTTTTACGTTTGCTCCCCCCGCAAAAAATTCTTGCCCTTGTTTGTTCTCTCCCCCTACTCGCCATTTTTGCTTATGTCCATGTTCTTTTTTTTTATCTGACTCTCCATTTTTATATGTGGTTGCTTTCTCTGCCAAAACATTCTTGCGTGTTGTTTTTCACCCCTCAACACTCTTATGTGTGGTTGTTTCCACCCCACAATATTCTTGGGTGTGGTTGACCCCCCCCCCCAACAACATTCTTGAGTGTGGTTGAAAAATAACATTCTTTGGCGGGGTTGGCCAAGCTCCCCCAAGAACATTCTTTGGCGGGGTTGGCCAAGCTCCCCCAAGAACATTCTTTGGCGGGGTTGGCCAAGCTCCCCCACGAACATTCTTTGGCGGGGTTGTGAAGCTCCCCAAGAACATTCTTTTGGGGTTGGCCAAGCTCCCCCACGAACATTCTTTGGCGGGGTTGGCCAAGCTCCACCCCTACGTTCATGGATGCGGCTGTACACCCACCCATTTCACGTTCCTGGTATGTTTGTTAACCCCCCACCCCAAAAATTCCGCATCTATTCTTCTTTTTTACGTATTATTTCACTTGTCATGTATGGTTGTTCCTTTTGTACCCACCCACCGACAATCTCGATTGTGTTCATTTTGTGCCCCCCGCCATCGACATTCTCACCTGTTATTGTTCCTTTCGTCCCCGCTACGATACCCTTCAAGTGTAATTGTTTCTTCTACTCTCCACATTCTTGGCTTATTTCTTTATATTTAATATTCTCTCTCTCTCTCCCTTTCTTCTCCCTTTACTAATCTCTTTATATTGTATTCTCATGATTCAAAGTTTTTTTTGTGTGTGTGGGGGGGGGGGTTATTAACAACTGGTGGTATACAAGATTTTTTTTTTCTTGTCTAATTTCAACAATGTTCAAATTTGTAAATGCCTACGCGTGGCTCTATTGAGAAACGAATATTTCTCATTCATTACATACGAGATCCTGTCAGTGTTAAAGTCTACAAATATCTGTATTTTCTTCCATTACCACACAATGACACCTGACACAGAATATGTGAACTTCACTGTCTCTATTGTCCTACTTGAGCTTCCACTCCCTTCCACCCGTCGTTCCGTTGCTGGTTGCGTCAGCGTTATTCAGGTAAATTAGCTAAGAATGCCACACTCATAGTCTTACCTGGGCAGGCAGGCAGGCAGCCAGCCAGCCGAATAAATGAGTGAGCTTCATTGGCAGATGAGGGACCTTCAAATGTCTCGTTTCAATACGAGATAAATTGATATTGTATTTAGAGTCTATACTTACTGTACGTGGTCTCCACTTACAGATGCGAGATTACTAAAATATATCCAATAATTTCTTCAGACTTTTGGTCCTAATTACTATTACAGCTTCTATCAAAAGTAATGTTAGCATTGGAGAAACTATATATAAAACGAATGTTCTTACTGTGCGCTTAATATAATGGTTGTCGGAACGACAGGCAAAGTGACATATCAACACCTCCATGGGTTATCTAATGCCGAAATATAAATATTTTGAACGCATTTTCTATCTTTATTTTACTAGTGTTGAAATATTCACTATTTAGTATTGTTGAAGTTGTCGCTAACATTTTTGCAGAGATTTACAAACTCTACGTTTCGTTCAATTTCGCATTTTCTGAGATGAGGTATTATGTACATTATTTACATTATTCGGACTATTGTCCTCATCTTTGTCGCCATATTTATTACCACTCTTCGGCCTTTCAGTATCTGTCTATATTTCTGAGATGAGGTATTATGTACATTATTTACATTATTCGGACTATTGTCCTCATCTTTGTCGCCATATTTATTACCACTCTTCGGCCTTTCAGTATCTGTCTATATTTCTGAGATGAGGTATTATGTACATTATTTACATTATTCGGACTATTGTCCTCATCTTTGTCGCCATATTTATTACCACTCTTCGGCCTTTCAGTATCTGTTTATATTTCTGAGATGAGGTATTATGTACATTATTTACATTATTCGGACTATTGTCCTCATCTTTGTCGCCATATTTATTACGTTTCGACCGTTGTACGCTCCGGCTTTCTTCAGGTGGTTTGAATGTCGAACTTAACCCTTTATTTCGCTCACTGGGGTAGACTGTTCTAGTTCTACTTGCCATGTTTTCGATGAAATTTGAAGAAGCTGATTTGTTTGGAAAAATAGTTTGATAAAACCCTACTTCGTGGTTTAACAATTACTTCAATTTAATTTAATAGGACTTCATGGTAAATAGTTTTTATTTAATAAGTCTTCATGGTAAATAATAGTTTTTAGTTTGCTTTCGATCGATCTATTTTAGTGTATGACTGTCGGACGGACGGACTAACTGGCGTCACAGAAATTTATATACAGATTTTATTTTTTGATATAATGGTTTTAGGGATACAATTTTTACCAATTATCTCATATCTTGGTGGGGGGGAGAAGAGATGAATTCATACCTTTCACAAGAGTATTTGTGCGTAAGTGAATATAACGAACCCAACGGGAATTGGAACTCGGCTCTCTGATTAAGATTTTCGAGCCATTATCCATTACATTACCCGCACATTGAAACTTACAGCACCTGGTATTCCCAAGCGGTCACCGATCTAGGTACTGACCTAGCTGAAAGTTGCTTAACTTCGGTGATCGTACGGGAACAATGTTTCAACGTGATATCACCGTAAGCCTCAAAGGGAGAAAAACTACTATGAGCTTCAAGGGATAGGAAGTCGAGAAGTGACATGATCGCATGAAGATCTTTGAAAGGATGTTACACATAGAAGAAAATTGAAACGAAAAGTGAAAACGGAAAGCCGAGTTTAGGCTCGGGTTTTGTCTCTTCCGTTCATCCATATCTTCCCTTCTCGGCGATTGGGAAGATCTGGTAGCCTGAGTTCTCTTGTCTCGGATGGCAGCCAATCTTGGATATTTCCAAAAAGTTATGGTTTTCCCCAGATGTTATGTTTGTGGAGAGCTATGATCGCCTACGTCTTGAATTGATATGACATTAAGTATACAGCACCGTGTTTGAAGGCATATAACCCTCTTTTACCAAATTAATAGAAAGCACTACGTAATCCAGTTTAAAAACGACAGTCACTAGACTTCTCTGTGACTTAGTTTTACGCTATAAAGCGATTCTTAGACGCCAAATTTCACGGGGGAAATCTTGTCTTTGACACTTAAAGATTGGATTCCAGCTCTATTCTCGGTTAGTTTTCTCATCAGAAATTTCTAAGTAACTGAACACTCAAGTTCAGGTAGGTTCATTAATAGTTCAGACACCAAATCCCGAAAGTTAAGCAAAGTCGTGTCTGGTCAGTACCTAAATGGGTGACTGCTTGGGAACATCAGGTGATGTAAGCTTGGATGTGCGGGTGGTATAATGGCTTGGAATTGTTAATCTGAGAGCCGAGTTCCAATTTTCGTTGCATTCGTTATATTCACTTACGCGTAAATAACCTTGGGAAAGGCATGAATCTACTTCTTCTCCCTCAGATATGGGTTAATTAGTATGACTTGTATCACGTAAATCGTTATCATCTTAAAGCAAAAGATAATTGCGTACGAAATATTTAGATCCCTGCATTAAATAACCGATAGAGATTGATATGCCGCTAAATAAAGACAAGAAACCAACATTCTCCCTTTGCTAAGGCTTCCGACCCTCATTCAGACATTCGATAACCGCTCTATTAAGTGCACAGTAAAACATTCATTTTTATATTTACCTTGTAAATATCTGGATTTCCGTATATATAGGTTGTAAATAGTTGGAGTTTGATATATATATATATATATATATAGCTTGTAAGTAGTTTGATTTCGATCGACATATATCGCTTGTATTTTGATTTTGACATGTATGGCTTCTATTTGAATGTAATGGATTTGACTGGAATTCGAACCCGACTCTCCGATTTCTCAAACTGAGCCGCTATCCATTACTCCACTATTACAAACCAAAAACCAAACCAAACCTATTTGCACCTCTCCCTAAAATTTGGTTTCAATTGGTTACTGTATGGCTTTTTTAGAGGGTTTAATGAACGGACTAGTGGAAGTCACTGAATTTTATATATAGATTCAGTTTTAGTGTTCGAACTGGTTTTCTTTCATGAATTGGCTGAAACTCTCTGGACTGATTGTCCTGAACGCTTTTTGGCTAATTCTTTAGCCATTTTGGCGTGGGGGTGGGGATTTTAGTTGTTAGTATTTTTTGTGTTTATATTATATACCGTGTTGTATAAGAGTAGTTGTAATTTGATGTCGAGGTGCCTTTATCGACGCATCATAAAACAAGACATTTCACCCGTAGACTCTAGCAAACGTGTAAAACTGTTAACCTCATAATTAGAAACAACAACAACAACACAGCTATCGAATTCAAGCTTCAGATCAACAATATAGTTTATAAATTCCATTGTCCAGTGCAAAACTACGAACCCTGGAATAAAAATAAAAGTACAAACGATTACCTAAGTCACACAAGCTATTTATGCAAAGGTCTAATTAACAACTTGAAAGATTTTAGAAAGCAGTGAAACTCTTATATCAAACGCTCTACACCTATACGGAAAGGTCCTTGTATATAATGTTGTCATTTTAAAAGAATATAATTGTAAAAGACGTTTAATGATAATTGAAGCACTTTTAATAAAAACCTACAGATAGATACTTAATACTTATTGCTATGTGATAGTTCAAACTTAGTGGTTGTGTTTAAAGAAATAAAATATTAATGAAAACATGAAATGAATATATTTTTGTGTCCGCATTCGTATTTTTTTCCGCCAGGAGAGATATTTAAAGACTGTTTTGAAAGAAAAAGTAAAAATAAAACCCTTACGTTGAATAGTGTTGAGAGCCGGTGTATGTGTTGAGAGATAAACGTAAAATGTAAAGAAATAAGAAGAACCAATACTCACACACACACACACACACAAATAAAAAATGATAATGTATTAACAACAAAGGGTTACAAGTAACAATGTGTGTAACAAATGAATGTGAAAACTTAATGGTCCAAAGTATGTGTAATGAGTGAATGTGCATACGTACGTATGTGCGTATGTATTGTCCATGCATTTTCCAGAAGGGAACGCGTTCTTCCGCGAGAAATATACATGTTGACGAGCAAGCGGAAAAAGTAAGAAAAAAAAAGAGTGATAAAAATTATCGCAGAGGATTTATAGTGCGGGAGAGCGCCCTCTAGTAACGATTTCGAAAATCAGGAGGCGATAACCCGACAAGAGGATAGGAATAAAGACTGAAACTGTGTTGCCGCTGGCTTCCAACCTAACTAAAACGCAGTGTTGTGGGGACTTCAAACTTTGAGCAAAATTAATTCATTTGTAAGAATATGAATACTGTAACGTTAACATGAAGCTAAATAACTCACAACTCATCTCATGGTCACCAAACTGTTGTTACTAGGTTAAGGATGAACAAAAACTAAGTGTTGAGAAAATAGACAAACGAAAACAGCGGCCCAGTGGATAGAAGCGTTGGTTGAAGTAACCCAGTGACTTGACCCAAAGAGTTGTTAGATCAATACCTGGCCACAGCAGTGGGGAACAAAAATTTGGAGAGTTGAGTTACTAAAAGTGAGATAACTGAAACTAAGATATCTAGAAGGGGCATGGCACGTGGAACTAGAACATTGTAATTTGTTGGACAAAATCACCGTTATGAATATGGCAATAAAAATAAGTCTGAATAATGTAAATAATCATAAAACCTCATGTCAGAGATATAGACAGAAGCGATGTAAATTAGCGTCCCTTTTACTCTAACGGATGTTTTGATTGTAAAAGTTGAAAAAAAATCTAAGAAATATAAAGGAAGGACTACACACACATATGTATGAAAATTATATCAAGATTATAATTTATTATATAAACAATATAATATTAATAAAATATTAATATAAATTAATATAAAATATTTTAAACAAATAAATAAAATATTAATAATAAAATTAATATATAAGTTATATAAAGGAAGCATATATATTGACTGTTTCTGTTAGACAGTTACTAAACATATAACATAAACCTATTGACATATGTATATAGCATATATAATATGCCTATTTAACATATATAACATGTGCATATGACATAAACATTTCTAAGTACCTGACTACATGTCCTATCCTTTGTGGAACAGATCCCCGAGGTAATGCTTCCCCGATCACTACAATCTCAACCGCTTCGAGTCTACAGTCAACCGTTACCTATCTTCCATATCCGGATAATCTGTGCTTCTGACCTCCTCCTCATACGTCCGTATAACAACCTCATTCGGTAAACCTTTACCTTGAGTGGCCTTGTATTGGGTGAACAATATTAAATATTTTTAAATAAATTCTGAGTATTTAGCATCAACCACACACTCACGTATAGTAAAAAAAAAACAAAAAAAACGGCAAGTTTATTATCACTGTTTTATCTTTGAGGAATAATTGAGCTTCAATAACCTTGAATATTCATTCAACTCGCGTAGTTACTTAACTCTGGTTCTTTTATGATTGATTAATTACTGCTCGATCTTGTGACTCGCCATTTAAACGTTATTTGCAGACAACTTTCGTCTTTCGTTCTTCCCTTCTCGTATGGCTAAACAACTCGCTGGCTTTGATCGTCAAGTTATTGCACTTTTCAAACAACACCCGATGTGAGAATTGACAAAATGCGCAGAAATTCATCCTGAATTTTCCAGTCACATCAGTCGTCGCCACTTTTCAACAGTTGTCTCACGTCTTTCTAATTCTACCGCTTTTTTTTTTTAACTCCGCACCCTGTGTGTGTACGCGCGCAATATATATATATATATATATATATATATATATATATATATATATATATATGTGTTTGTCCAGAAATAAAAAAAAAAAAATTATGGAGCAACACCAACATTTAATCTTCAAAATAAAGTCCATCATCCTCGACGATCTTGTGCCAATAATCAGCCAGCATCTGAATCTGTCCCAGATACCACGCCGCTGACGTTGAATCAAAAATCTTTAAACAAGCTTCTTTCACTTCATCAAAAGTGTTGAATCGCTGTTCGCGAAGGAAGTGTGCCACTGAGCAGAATAGGCTATAGTCACTCGGAGCAGCATCGGGTCTGAATGGTAGATGTGGAAGAATCACAACACTTGTCATTTCTTTGAACTTCTCTCTAGTCAACATGGCTGTGTGTGGTCTCGTACTGTTTTGCTGAAACAAAGTCCGACCTCGATTGAGCAAAGCAGGATACCCCTTTAGTTTGTCGTACATGCGGTCTAGCAACGGGCAATACAAGCCCGAAATGCAGTACTCTTTGGAAATTCCACCACACAGATCAAAATTTGTTGTTTTCTTTCCGCTGAGGTGAGTCAGGACTTTCTGGCCAACCTAATATATACAGGGTCTATCAAAAACACTTTTACAAATTTTAGGGGCGGGTTCCTCACAGCAAAACAAGGACAAAAGTCCATAAACAATTCTTCGTTTTTGAGTTATTAAGTTTACAGTAGACGCTGTTGAATGTACAATTCAAGATAGAAGACAAAAATACTTTTACGAACTTTGAATATACAGCCCTAGTTCAACTGAACACTTTTCAGTTAGCTCGCTACTACACAAGTTAAAAGTTGAAGAGTGGGACTAACCACAAATGTACACAAATGACAAATGTA